CCTGCCTGCTCTGAAATTCTATTTCCAGATTAATATTCCTAAAAATCAACTCCAATCAAGCCATTTTCCAACTCTGAAACACATTTTTACACTCTACTGCCTAGTGATATAATTACAAACTCTTCCCATGGCAGCTTCATCCTGCTAACTCAGTAGTTCTGACTCATTTTTCTCATTCCACACAGTTCACAGAACAATACACTGTCATCAGTAATATCTTACACTGCCTGCAATGGTCTTCAAGGAACAAAGTAGACCACTCAGGGGCACATAACAGCCTCTGAATAGAATAATTTTAACATGTGTATAACCAACACCTTCATAGTGCTTACTACTTGTAAGCACTCTTTGAGCATTTTGGAAGTATGAACGCACTGATTTCACCTTACAGTCCTATGAAGTAGCATTATCATTATTCCATTTTGCAGATGAAGAAACTGAGGCACAGGAGGGTAAGCAATTTCTCCAAGGGCGCATGGTTAATAAATGGCAGATAATCAATCTCAGATAGTCTAGGTCTGTAATCTATGCTCTTAATTCCTTTGACATGCTGCCTCCTTGGATTTCTGCCAACCACCACTTACCACCACCTACTCCAACACCAGAGGCTGAGAATTACCAAGCTCCATCATTTTCATCAAGGTTCAGAAAACAATCCCATTTCCCTTCCTTCCTTCCTTCCTTCCTTCCTTCCTTCCTTCCTTTCTCTCTTTCTTTCTTTCTTTCTTTCTTTCTTTCTTTCTTTCTTTCTTTAGAGAGAGACAGTGGGAGCAGGGGAGGGGCAGCGTGAGAGGGAAAATCTCAAGGAGTGTCTCCACTGTCAGCACAGAGCCTGACGTGGGGCTCAAACTCATGAAACTGTGAGATCATGACCTGAGCCAAAATCAAGAGTTGGACGCGTAACCCACAGAACTACTCACACACTCCAAAAACAATCCCATTCTATTTTGAAAGTGGCTTGAGTTCATCAAAATGCCAGTGACAGGTTTCTTTGATCTTATAGATCACCTTTCTCAGTTACCGCTCATGTTTTACCTACCATATACTATCTTTGTTGTCACCAAAATATGTGATACATTATATCACATCTTTCTAACTAGATTTAAAAACTTCTGAAACCAAACTTATAATGGACACTGCAAATTGGTCTTCTGATTTCCCAGTTGTATTAACACTACCTTTAATATAATTTCAAAGTAACTTGTTTCTCTTCTGTCTCCCTTGGCTAATTCATATCCACATATAATCCACTTCTGAGTTTTGGTTCTTCATGCATCCCTGATACCACTCTTCATCTTTTCCACGCTTTTTGTCTATACAGTGGGAGAGATGATGCAGCTATTAACTGGCCCATGGTAAGCAAGTGATAAATATATTAAGGGTTTTTTATACTGTTTGGCATTCTTACTACCCTTTCCCCAACTAGGGTAGAAGTCTTGTATCTAGTCTTCCAACTTCCAGCTTCCAGTTGAATTTATCTAAGGTAGAGTCTCTGCCCTGCTCTTGTCTACCACCCTTCCCTCCCCACCATTGTGTGCTGAAATAAGAACTCACTTCTCAATTGCTACCAAAAAGTTTACTCATCACACCCTTGATTTGTCTTTCGGACCTCATCTCCTATTACTCCACTATGTATGTTGTACCTTTTAAGCAAATCAAACCAAATGCTATTCTCATAAAACGTTTTATGTTTTTTTCAATTCCATATTTTGCATGTGCCCTTTATTTCACTAGACATGCTATCTCCCGCTCCTTTGCCTTTACATCTTGATATGTTCACGTTGTCTTTTTTTTTTACTGTGCTTTCTTGCTTTTCAGACTCACAATAGTTTGTTTAAATCTCTCAGTTGCCCTTCTATTTGGCTACTTGCCTTATCGTCTTTACTGAATTTGAGAATTCCTGAAGCCAGGAAATGGGCTTTTACCCAACTCAGTAGTTCTTGCAACGTCAGCCAATACCTTGCTGCTGTTGTAGATATTAAATAAATATATGTTGGATTAAAATAACTGCTAACCTCCACCTGATTCTATACAGAAAGTGTAAGTCATTATTCTTACACAATCTAATGCATCATTTTTCAAGTGATATACACCGGAGGCTAAGATAAGTTAAGGAAAGCCTTTTACGTTTTAGGGCATAGGAAGGACATACTGAGATTAAGTAGCCCCTTGCATCATCTCTAGAATTCTTCAAATCCTGACTCAGTATTTGTCTGTATTTCTTATACATTTACTTAAATCATCTCAGGGCACCTGGGTGGCTCAGTCGGTCATGCATCTGACTTCGGTTCAGGTCATTATCTCATGGTTCATGAGTTTGAGCCCCACATTGGCCTCACTGCCGTCAGTACAAGCCCATTTCAGATCCTCCGCCCCCCCCCCCCCCACGCCTCCCATGCTTGCACTCTCTCAAAAAATAAATAAATATAAAAAACAAGCAATTTGTCTCATTTTTCAGCACTAATAGCTTACATTTCTGAAGCATAATTTCCTTTCCTATAGAACCAGGATAATATTAACTACTTGTCAAGATGGTTATGGGGATTAGAGGAAATACAGATCATATGTGATAATATGTTATTTCTAAAAAAAAAAAATGATTGCATACCATAGGTACTGAAAATATGTTGTTTCTTTTTCCTGTCATTGTTGAACATGGCCCACTTAACTGAAGGGGCCTGGGATCCAGAACTGAAGTTGCCTGCCCTAGTGAACTGGGCAGTGACCCTGTAGAATAAGTCTGGGAAGAGTCTAGTTGTAGGAGGTGGGGGGACAGCCACACATAAACCACTGACCTAGGGTAGTAAAGAGACTCTGAGATTGACAGTTGACAGTTTCTCATTCTTTCGTGAAAAGAAAAGCGTTAGCAGTATGAAACCGTTCCATGTCCTAGAATTCTGCTGATGGTACTCAGAAGCTTCTAGTAAAATCCGTTTTAGAAGGAATAGTCTTCGACTGTGCATTCCAGTCTGTTCAGTGATATCTTTCTGAACCACCTAATATCATCCCTCTACCTTTCCTCCCACCTCACACTCTCCCCATTGAGAACAAGACCTAAGAAAACCTGCAGGTGGCGAATGAAATGGCCCACCTGGCTGGATGGGAAAACTGCAGAGCTTGGAAAGCTGGCAAGGTCCGAAGAAAACATCTCTGCCATTTTTATTCACCTACAGTCTCCACGGCAGTCTTTGTCTTTGGAGAAACAGAGAGATACAAGTGATGAAAAAACAGAGAATTGACGGAGACACAGCAGTGAAATCACTACTGTTGGTTTCCACTGGGGCATGGCAGATTCACATTTGCTTGGCTTCAATCATTTTCCCTTTTCATTTCTTCTTACTTTCTGATTTTTCTTTCTCCACTGTCTCTCTTTACCTTCTCCTTGCTCCATAGCTTCCTTTCCATACAGTTGCCAGCATCCAGGCTGTTAAATATACACTGTTAAACATTCTTAACCTGATGTAATTAAGGGAAGGAAGTCCGTCTGAATCAATGACAAGCTGGAGAAATAAGCAATTTTTAAGGAAATGAAGTTTTATTACTCTTAGCGATATACTGAAACTATTGAAAGCAGTTAACGGAGCTACATCACTTAGGAAATGGATGACTGACTTAACTCCCACATAAGCACATATTGTAAATTTACTGTTTGAAATAAAATGTGTGTTTTGCTTTTTTTTAAAAGACCTTTCCTCCTTGAATAGACTAACATTTATTTCTTTACAAATTGCTTAGCAAACATTTTTTTTTTAATTTGAACATTGTGGATGTTGAGATATGAATGCAAATCTCGGGTGTTTAAAATTTGGTGCTAATGAGGTCAAGACCACGCTCTAAATCTCTCTATCTGCCAGTTATCTCTGTTGCATGGTCACAAGTATGTGAACAAAAAGCTCTGATCATAAAGACGCGTTAGGGGAGAGGATGTGGATGAATCCATCCAAAATACCTCCACGTAATTGGAAAATGGCTCTGTTGTCATCAGCTGTGAATCCGTGGTTAGTAGCTTCATCTTTCTTAATGAGCATCAGTTATCTTAGAATTTGAAAGATAATTTTAGCACCATCACTGTTAATTTAATAACCTATTCATTTGATATTTCAACTTTCTGCTTTGTGGTAGTGTTAACTTAAAATTAGATGAGCATTTTCTGTTTTCAGTGATATTTTTTGCATGTATATTTATATCCTACTTGTTAAGGCTAATACTGTGTGAGCTCATACAATTGCATCTGAACTCCGAGCAAAAAATAATGATCCATTTCATGAGACGAGTGATTTTTACAGACTTCTCATTCCAACTGAAAGGGTGCTTTTTTCCCTTTCATTAAAATGTATTTCTCAATTAAATTAAAATGCAAATATAGACAGTCTGTGTTTATGGTTTTAATAGAATTATTGAAAGAAGGTTTTAAATCAACCTGCTGTTAATATTTTATGCAGGAACTGTTGGTTTTATTGTTGGGCCAGGACTGCCATGTTCCATTTTCAAGATTACTTAAAGTGTTGTGAAAACTTAATCATATTGCCCAGGTTTTATCAGTTTTTGGCCACTCTTCTCTGGGATATTAAAATGGACCTCTTTCCTTTATGCTTTGTAAGTTATGCCAGTGATGTTGGAGAAGTATCAAGTACTAAAACTTTAGAATCCCTTGAAACTGAGTGATGACAAATTTACTATTTGTTTTTCAATAAATAGTTTATTGCACAGAATTGAATCAACTCAAATTTAAGAGAACCATATTTTGTAATTTATTATTAAATTAAAGATCTGGAAAAATACTTCAAGAAACCATTTCTTTAAACCTTTTAATTTATATTATAAATATAAAATATTTCTATTAGAAATTATATCCAATGATACGGAATTAATTATGGTTCTATTAGGATTGCTTTAGCTTTTTTTTTAAGAAGTGTTTTATCATTTGTCAAGCACATGGATTAAAATCATTTTTAAATAATATTTTATAACTTGACCTTTATCCTTTTTGTCATTTTTAGTGATCTCAGTGAAAACCAAATTCAGGCAATTCCAAGGAAGGCTTTCCGTGGGGCAGTTGACATTAAAAATCTGTAAGTATTTTTTTTTTTTCTGGCTTACACTGTTGCTGTAAACATTATCTGTTTTCAGAGTTAAATATATATTGAATAATGCATCAGAAAAAAAGTGAAAGTCCTATTTATCTTTATGCTTGCTTAGGAGAGCTTGTAACAATAAGTTTTAAATTGCTATGACAAGGTATCTGGAGACATTCTCATGTAAAAGTTGTCTTGCATCTGAAGTTATTATCAAATTCATTCTTCTAAACTTTGTGATTAATCTTGTGAAATCTCAATAAATGATTAGATTAAAAGGTATTTGCATTGTATTTTCTTTGCTTTTACTGTCAATGTACTTCATTAACTCCCTTTTCTGTTGTTATCAGTGTTTATTGGAAATGCAGAATATAAGCTATTTTTTTCTGGAAAGAGTAGATAATATTTTCCTGTTAGAGATGCCTGCAGCCTGGAGCTATAGTTTTTTTTATCGCTTTTAGATCACTGTTTTCATTACATACATATTTTTCCCCTTGTATCTTTATAAAAGTATATGTGTATAATCTCCTTTTCAAAGAAGGGGGAAAAAAGCATGAGGAAGAAGGAAATTGTATTTCTGTATTTTCCCTTGAGAAATCTAGTGCCTTGTATAAAAGTGTTTTTTGCAAGTGCCTATAGCTTTGAAGATACATATCAGATTGAAGATTTCAGGGACAATCCTAATTTTGTCAATATGTATGTTTTTATAAACTTTTATAAAGTTTAAAATACTATGCAAGCCTTTGAAAATGATGGTTTTTTTATTGGCTGCAAAGGCTAGGACTTTAAATGTATGTCCTTAGCTTTTACATGAGTTTGGAATGTAGTGGGGAAAAAGCCCCTATGTGCTGAGATTAACTAACAGGAATTCAATATTTCTTAGCTAGTGATAAACAGCTCCGGCACTTTTCAAGAATTAACTTATATTCGGCATTCTCCATGGTGGGTTACAACACTACTTTTCCAGTAGGGAAAGTGAGACAGGTGTTTTCTGTCATCAAAGAGGAGGACTGTTTATAAAGCTTCAAGTTTTGGCCTCTACATCTTCTCTTCCACATAAATGTTTTTTGTTTAAAATTTGTACTTTCTAGGGGCACCTGGGTGGCTCAGTCGGTTAAGCGTCTGACTTTGGCTCAGGTCATGATCTTGCGGTTTGTGAGTTTGAGGCCCGTGTTGGGCTCTATGCTGACAGCTCAGAGCCTGGAGCCTGCTTCCGATTCTGTGTCTCCCTCTCTCTCTGCCCCTCCCCTGTTCACACTCTGTCTCTCAATAATAAATAACCATTAAAAAAAAAATTTTTTTTTTAAATTTGTACTTTCTAGATGTACAGGTAAGGACAGAAAAATACAAACTTCTAGATATAAACTTCAGAACCATTGAAATTCTGGCCCTAGGTTTTCATGGATGTTTACATGTGAAGGGGATTTTATTTGCTTTCTTTTTATCTTTTCTTGCTAGACCGTGGGGAAGTCTTCAGGGAGATTCTGTGATGTAAGATGTTCAAAACTAACTTTGTATACTCTGTGTACTGTATACTTTGTATACTGTGTCTGATCCTATAAAGATCCCAATATAGCACCTACTCAGGTCGCCTATATGTCACTTAAAAGGATAGTCATGACTACAGTTGACCACCCTCTGGGAATGCCACTAGCAATCCTACAATAGTATTATCTCTAAATCCTTAAAACAGGTGGCTTTTAATCTTCTTAGTAAAGATATTCAGGGAATTCACGTGTATAAGTAACCTATAGTCCATATTTAAGGATGCATTTGGGAATGGGATACCAGTCATCATGGGATTCCTTCTTATGTCCTCTTCATTTATCCTTTTTAAAGACTGTGGTTTTAAAAATTCAGACATAAAAAAGAAAGTGAAATCTTAGCCATTGTGCTATATTGATTTAACAGGATTTTGAAACACTTTTATCCCCCATGTGCATTATATACATAATAACTGCCATGTTTTTAGACATGACAAATTGGCAAACTCCACTGAGTCTTAGTTTTACTTTTGTAAAGTGAATATGATAATTGCTTGGGTTTGTTGTGGTTATTAGGGAAAGAAGATACGTGAAAGACCTTTTGGTAAAATGCTGTAATATAGAGTGTATCATTTCATTCTGTAAGTATTCACTAATCAACTTCTAGAAGTTGGCCCTTAAAAAGGGATAGCAAAAATACAGGAAAGAAGAACATGAAGTAATTTGCAGTATTGGGCATGGGTAAGACAGGTTTGTGTCTATTCTGGGTCCATTAACCATGGGGCTAATAAGTGGAAAAGGAAAATATAGCAGAAAGCACTAAATATACACAAGACCCTGATTTAAAAACAAGATACTATGTGCTGTAGGTGCCAGGCAAAGAGAGAGATAAGAAATATTGCTTGAGGTCATCAGGGAAATCTGTAGGAAACAGTTTCTGAAAGAAAATCTAAAGGAATCTTCAAGGATGTTGATTTGTGTTACGTGTTGGTGAGTAACAGCAGATAAGGGTGGATTGAGGAAGTTAGAATTTATTAAAGAAACTATGCAAAGTTAAAATTGATTTCCACAATCCTCACTGCCTTCCATGCAACGGTGTCAAAGGCCGTGAGAGCAACACTGAAATACCACAATGCACTTCTAGCTTTATTTAATTAATCAGAATCATAGCTACAATTTAATAGAATTTTACAGTTAAAAAACATGTTTCTATAATTAAGACATAGTTCAAACCACATTGTTAAAAAAAAAAGTCCAGGTTCAGGGGGCTTTTTATGAAGATTAGTTTTATCGTTAAAAGTTAAGAAAGATGCCTGGTAAAATATGTTAGAGCTGAGGGTAAATTTTAATTCATATTATTATTATTAAAGGCAAATATCGGTCATCAAATAATGACTCCATAAAAGCCCAGAAGTATTAATATTAATATTATTGATATTCAGCATGGGAAAGACAGGTATAGTACTTTGTCCTTTTTATCATTCCACTGTATGAATTTACAATTTGGACAGTCCTGCATGGTGGCTGGCTACTGTTCTAAGTCATTCAGACAGTAAAAGAGAAACAAGAAGGCTAGACTGAAGGAATATGTCCCTTAGCTGCATTACGATGTTAACAATGATATTTTGTATAGGGCTGTCTAAGTGCCCAGTCTGATGCACTGTAACAGGTTTATTGGATTTACCACATTCAGGCCTTATTCAGAGCAAATTCCAGTTAACAGAAGATTTTCACTGGAAGCACTTACTTTAATCTTGTGGATTGGCTAAATATGCTCATGGCGGCATCTTGACAATATGAAACTGATGCTGTGGAAATTTTGCAAATTAGCAGATCTTATTCCTCTTCCTTCAGGCAAGCCACATGAATACTATTCTAGGCAGATGGACCCTAAACATCTCCAGGGAGGAATTCTCGTAACTTTTTTGCTTATCGCTATTAATTTCTTAACTGGAATAAAACCCTGTATATTTTATTTTTGTTACTTCATTTTCTCCAGCTGCAACTTAAACTGTTTTCTTTTCCTTGACATTTTAGATGGTGAGATCTGAGAATAACAAGATCATATTAAAATATCAACTAAATTACAATGTTTGTAATAGTCACTGGCAGCGCTTTCCCATAGAATTTACATCTGTTTTAAAATTCTCCAGTTAAGTATGAATTAAAGTATTGATACCATATTATTACCAACTGATGTGCCACCAAAATGATGATCAATGTGTATAGGACTTTTCTTTATAAATTTTGTATATGTATTTAATATATTCAACACTGATGCAGGAAAGCCTTTTTGCCTCCTGATCAAATTTTGAATGAAAACACGTTATATTATTTAAACTATTTTATTTAGAGGTATCTGTGAGATATTTCCATTTAATTGAGTAATTTAGGAGAATATTTAAATTAAACCCTCCTTTATTGCTGAGACTTGTGAACTTATTCTCTAAGCAGGTACCTAATGGGAATAAAGATTTTTCAAGTCTTTTGTTTTCATGATAAAACATTCCTAGTTAGAGTTATCCCAAGATTTGAGAAAAAAACTGTACAAATCAATGAACTTAAATTTAAGTAGATTGCTAGTTGCTCTTCACGTCACAAAAGTAAACTTTAATGTATTTTTAGTTTCTTTAGTGAGTGCACCATAAACACTTAAAATAGTTAAATTCTGGGCTCCTGGGTGGCTCAGCTGGTTGAGCTTCCAACTTCCGCTCAGGTCATGATCTCGTAGTTAATGAGTTTGAGCCCCACTCAGCTCTCTGCTGTCAGCGTAGAGTCCATTTCAGATCCTCTGTCCCCCTCTCTCGCTGCTCTCCCCCTCCCTCTCTGTGTCTCAAAAATAAAGATTATAAAAAATAGTTAAATCTCAACACATGTTCTTTTAGACACCCTTGTAAATAAAGTAAGTCACACTTGCTTATTCTTCTTTCGTTTCGCAGTACTCCCTCAAAATGTACTCTATGTTCTAGTCAAACTGTAATGTTTATCGTTTATAAGTAAATTTATGTCTTTCCCATTTGCTTGCATTATCCAATTCCCTTAACCCTATATCTCATACCCACCTTTGGCAGGAAGATTGCTTCTTGGTAAAAAACAGGTTAGGCAAAAAATATTTGTAGTTATCTTTCTTTAACATACATTAATTTATAAACAAAGGTCAGGTTACAAGATGATTTAGTTTTGTTTTCTTTGAACAAGTTATCATATTATTTGGGAAACAAATATGTACAGCCATGGCTTTGTAGGAAACACTCACCCAATGTGGGTTGCAATGGTTATTGGCAATAAGAAGATTTGGCAAATGGGAAAGACAGAGTTAATCCATATGCTGTTATATAGCTATTTATATTATTTAGAAATTTCATTTTTTTCTGGAACTCTGTCATCTTTGACTTATTTTATCACTATCTCAATTAATACTCATAGAAGAAAAATTCACTATTCTATACTAGGGAGACAGAAAGACTTCTGTATTTTACTTAATTTTATACACTTCTTTAGTTTTAATTTCTT